ACACTTTGTTTCAATTTTGTTCCAAAAGAACAATCAATTTTTATAAAACTAAGATGTCATAGCAACATTGTGGTTTTTCTCCTAAAGAATTAGGAATCAGAAAATAGAGGTTGAACTATGGATAGGGGTAGGGAAGGGTCAGAGACAGAGACAAGGTCAAGAGCAGAAATAGAGTTCTCACTCTAGACACATGGAGGTGACTTTCATATAGCACCTTTACATAGACCATGGGGCACAAAATTTAAACAGGTTAAAATTTAGGAACAAAATTAGAGGCTACAAAGCAGAATCTCTTACCCTGAAAAACTCTTTAGTGGAGCCAGAGTCTAATGTTCCGTAAGCAATTTCTGTTTGCTTAGAAAGATCCTCAGCACTTTCGATGGGAGACACCATCCTCTCTACAGTCAGGAAGGCAGCTAAGTTAGCCGTGTAGGAGGAGATTATGATCAGGGTAAAGAACCACCACACACCTCCAACAATGCGCCCAGAGAGGGATCTAATAACAAGTATGAAATGGATTTGTAAAGTGAAATGAATGACCTAATAAAAAATACAAGTTAGCAGTACTAAGCAAATATTGACTTACAGGGGAATATTTAATTTTATTATACTTTTCATATATCTGCAAGTTAAGGAAACTAGAAATCTTTAAACATTTTGGGCAGGGAGTACAGATTAACTAGGTTTCCTGATATACCCAGAGCCCAAAACTTCATATTCCTGGCATATTTTCATAGATATAATGCCCAAATAGTTTACGAAATTTCATAATGAAGTAATTTCAAGAAATGTATAAATAATCTATGCAATCTTCATACAAATTTATCCACTCATGACATAAGTAAACATGAGCAGGAGAATCTAAGATCCCCAGAAAAATTCATAACAATGTTTATAAATGAAATCAAATATTAAAATAAAAACTATACACCACAGATGTAGCTTTAAGCAGTCAAATCACCCTCCCTTTAATTCATCCAGTGAAGTTCCAAAACCCTCAAAAAAGGCCCAAAATTTCATTAGGTTTTTGTGTGCAAAACATAGGTATTAGATACAGTACAGGAGAGAAAATGGGAAAAAATGATATTACAAAGAAAGACATGACACAAAATATAATTCTTAATGAGTAAAAATCAGATGGCTTCGGTGCATGGACTGCTATGACCCTGCTCGTTTGTGTCTCC